ACAAATAAAAATAAACCCCCCCAACAAAAACAGCAAGCAAAATCTGTATTAAAGCGAGTAAGCCAGTTTAAACAAGTAGGTTTTGAGTTGTGACTTAAACAAGGGAAGGGAATCTATATTTCTTAAGGCTGAAAGAAGTGAGTTCCCGAGCTGAGGAGCAGAGCGACTGAAAGCTCTGTGCCCCATAGTGGTAAGGCGAGCAGGTGTGGCAGATGAAGATCTGAGAGAGCGGGAAACTGTGGTGATATGAAGCAGATCACAGAGATAAGGAGGGGTAAATCTTTTTTGCAGAGTTGTTTTAATTTATCTACAATGGAAGGTTTTCCAGCATGAACAGCCTGTTTAAGGTCATGCCAAAGCAAGAAGTCCCAGACCATCACACTGCCACCACCACGTTTGACTGTTGGTATGAATTTCTTTTTATGAAATGCTGTGTTAGTTTTACTCCAGATGCAACGGGGTGAAAACCTTGTAAAAGGTTCAGCTTTTGCCTTGTCGGTCCACATATTTTTTTGGAAAACGTGAAATCACTCTTTGTGTTCTTTTTTGGTCAGCAGTGGTTTTCTCCTTTGGACTTTCCCATGGATACCCAGTCTCTTTCTTATTCTTGAATAAAACTATTGTTGTATTGTTGAATGCTGCATGGTCTTTAGACGTCTTTTGCAATCTCCTGGATAGGTCATCAGTGTACTCTTAGAGTAATTTTGGTAGAGCGTTCACTCCTGGGAAGGTTTACCACTGTTCCCCTAATTATAAAAAGCAGAGCTGGGCTCATATGTCAGCACATGTTATCCAGAAGCAAGGAAAGAGCTTAAACTAACCACAAGGTGTGTAACAAATGCGATCACTGGTGTAAATAAGTGCATGGGTGAAGAAATGATGTATGCAATGTTGTTTATTTGCACCAAAATCCAAAAGATGTCTCAGGTAGGGGAGCCACACAGCATCTGAGCACTGAGGGCGTTTATAAAGAACAATGGCTCACTGAGCCCTGGTTTAACCATTGTCACCAACTGGAAATGAGCCACACCACCTCTGCAGATGAGACCAGCCACACAAACAGGCCAATATGAAAGCAGGGTGGAGTGTGGCATCACAATAGTTGGAAAACACGCTTTAATTGCTTTTATTTGTCCTTCATTTGAGTGATGTAGAACCTGTAATCACAATAGTTTACCTCTTTTTTTTCTTAAAGTTAGGTATATCAAAATGTCATGATTTAAACAAACTCAGGGCTCGACATTTAATTTGGTGGGATCTGGTCACCCCACAAAGTCTGTCGAGCGCAGCTTTTATTTGCAGTACCCTCACTTGCACTGTCTGCAACCCATAAAACAGAGGCCTGTCCTCTAGAAGCAAGTCTCAATACTGCTATCTTGGTAAAAGCTCGGGTTAAATATTTGGCAATTATTTTGAACTCCGTCTAAATTATCTTTAATTCAGTTGGTTAACAGAACATAAAATCTGCATATCTGGAATAAAATTTGAACAAGTTTGATGATTTTGTTCTATGGTAAGGTTTAAAAGCTTTTTTTTCCCTCCACCAAATTTCAATGCCAACTCCTTGCTGTATTTTCCTTCCTTCCATCCTTCTTGGGTATTATGTCTCTTTCTTATAATGTCTTTGGCTCTAATAGCTTGTATGGGTTGGTTTCTATTATATAAAAATAATGTTTATATTTTTGCTGTACTGTATCCACATAATAGTAATTATAACTTGCTTGGATAAACTGATTGGCCAATTTATTCCTGGAAAATTGAAAGTGGCAAAATTAGAAATGAAAATAAAATAATGAAACAAGTAGTGCTGTGATTCCACTGGGACGACATCACAATGGATCGTATATTTTAACATTTTGTATTTTTTTTTTCTTCCAGAATAATAATTTGGACAAAATAAAAGTGTGTGTTTTTGTCAAGGACCAAACCAGATCTGGACTCAAATACAGGAATAAAAGTTTAACAGGTTTATTGAACTCACAAAAAAGTCAATTGTTTGGTGTCTTCTGAGTGAAGCAGGTGGGTGATATCTGGAGAGTTTCTCCTACACAGACTTCCCCTACATGTGGCGAGGGAGTATCTGCACAGCAGAGAATCATTTAAGCTCAAAGATAAAGCTGAATTTCTCACAAAATCTAACGCACTACCCATGCTGCACCTCATGTGCTCCCACTACCACAGCAAGTGCAACACCCCAGCAATTTCTTCTGGGAACTGTTCCACCTTAAGTAGTCGCTGAGTAATCATCAGATTGCACCCAGGTGAGTGATTGCTCAACAGCTTGCAGGTGTGGCCTGCCAGCAGAGGACACACAAGAAGGCTCAGCCTCTGAAGCCGACAAGCAGAATTACAAACACACACCCCCACGTGCACACAGCGAGATAGAGGGAAATGTAGGTTGGCACAGGAGGACGAGGGGACCATGACAGTTCCTTTGTTATGAAGATTTAATCGTTCTGAAAATTACTGCATTTTCAAGCACGTCCTGAATGCAGATAACATGTTGTCGTGTCCCTTTTAGTTATAGATAATTCAGATAAGAGAACTGTTCTGGAAGTTGTCAGTGTTTTTAAGAAAGAGGCTATTCCAGCTTCACAGAACAACTCAAACTGGCTCCAACCAAACCAACAAACAAAACAACAAACAGGCCCTAAAGAAGTACACAACTGGCTTTGTTAAGTGCTACCTTCAAAATGCATGCAGTCACTGGCATATTTAAAAAGACAAAGCCCAACCCGACTGACCAACAAAAGGAAGAGATTACGGTGGGCAAAAAAGACAAACCCAAGAGGCCTTTACTCCAGAAACTAAACTAGCCAACAGTTTTCAGCTGGCCTGACATGAGCGGTGAATGATTGATTAGTCTTTTAATGTGCTGAGCCTGCATTAGGTAACACAGTCTACTGCTGGAAAACAGTAATGACCGTTTCTGGGTCTCTGATATGCCTACGCAGAATAATTATTAATGAGTATGATTCATATCTACAGTTATTGTTATGGTAATTTGGGGGCTTTGAAATGTTCTCTTTCCTTTCACATCAGTGTTTTTTTTTAAGGTTTTTGTGTGTTTCTATTTGATGTTACTACTAAGAAAAGCTGGGATGCAGTTCAAGATACGAATAAATCAGAACGCAGAATTAGTTAAAGCTTGTGTTAAAAAATGAAAAATGTTGCAAGGACAAAATATCAACCTATAAGTTTGCTTGTTTGTTTTAAATAAATTGGCTCATTTTGAATTTGTTGCCAACAACAAGCTGCAAAAAAGTCACATTGTGTCTTATTCTAACATTTTAGTTAAAAGTTTTCAAATTCTTGCTTGATATAAGATTTCAGCTTCTCAACGGATGAGAAAGATGAGAAGAAATGTCCTCCTGTGACTCACTTTTTGTTTTATATTAAGTCAGATGGGTGATTGTGGTCCATTGTTACCTGGACTTCTTTACATTAACGCAAAGAAAAGCTGTATTGTTTTAATTCAAGCAGAAAAGGTGTTATTAAATATTTTTGAGCCCTTGATTTGAGATTGATTTCTTGATTTTTGGTCAGCTATCTAGGTGTGCCGAGGACACAACAGAAGCTCAGAAGGAACAGAGCTTTTGCCTGTGACAGTGGTGGATCTTAGACGGGCTTCTTCACTCTCCACTTCTTAAAACCCGTCTCTTTTCATTGGCAAGAGTGTGAGAGCTGATTTTTAATTGTCCCTTTGGTCAGTACTTGCTGTTTTAAAGCCCTTTATGAATAAAGTTAGCTTGACTTTGCTCTTCTTGGCAGAATTGGTTCATTTAAATTGATTGCTTTTCTGGCACAGACCTGGCTTTTAAAAATAGCCCACACATTTTAATAGTGTTGAGGCTGGGGCTTTGGGGAGGCTATTCCAGAAGCTTAATGTTAGCCTGCTTTATCCATTGCAAAACCAGTTTTTATGTGTGGTTCACTCAACAGTGTCCACGTTTCAACTGTTTAACTGCTGTTTGGGGTGAAGTTGAAGAATTTGGAGGTAGTACTACTCCCAACATCCAGTACAACCGGTAGCAAAACAGCCCAGGAGCATGATGTTACCACCACCATGCTCAAGAGCTGAAAGCCTCACCTTTAATCCTCCAAACATACATTCTTGCCATTGTGGACAAATAGCTCCATCTTTGCTTTATCTGTTCATGAGGGCAGCTGCAAATTTCAGCCAAGTTTGAGGGTGATGATTTTGGAACAGGGGCTTCTTTCTTGGTTGGACAGTGACGCTGGTATTCCAGCAGCTCCCAGTTCATGGCAGACTTGTGCTTTGATGGTTCATGGGTTGTTCCTGAACATCCCAACCAGTTTCCTCTTATCTAAGGATGACGGTTTGGGTCTTCTTCCAGACTTCGGCAAAGTTGTGACACATCCAAATAACTTGCACTTACATACTTGGCTCCAGGAGACCGTCCCAAGTTGTGTAAATATATAATTCGCCTTTTAAACGTTTCTCCGAGTTCTTTGGACTTTCCCATTAATCTCAGTATTGCTCAAACCAGTGAGTGCTGTCAAACAAATCCTTTTTATTTGGCCAAGAGAAAGTACCAGCTGTAGTAAATAATGCCTATGTGTATGTGTGTGTGAACTTCTAACCCCAATTTTATATTAAATATCAGTAATGATGGTTAAAGTTAGAATGTGTTTTCCTTTCAAAAATAAGGATATTGAAAAAAAACTAGCAAAACAATTAGTCATTAATTAATTTACAAAGACTTTCTACAAAGCCAACAAATGGGTGAATAACACTGACTTTAAAATAAGCTTCCTCTCAGCAGTAAAGCAGGCTTGTAAACAGATTACCGAACTGACGTCAGCATCCCGAGCCAGAGGTCACTTGACCAGATGCAGCACCAGTGCACAAAGAGAAAAATCCAGCTCGCTGCCTCAATGGATGTGCTGTGCTCGGCAAGACTGTTTACAGTGCGCGTTGCGTAATCAACAAACAGGTAGCAGCTAACTAGTCAGAACAAATCAGACAAACAGAGTAATCCATGGGTTTTTCCCCCATTGTTTTATTGCTCAGCAGTAAAAAGTACAGTGTGTATACGACAGTACAAAAAATACATAATGTTGAACACTGCTCCACCGTGCCACTGAACATTTTTGTAAAATATCCACTTTTTGAGCGTGCAAAAAAACAACAAGCCCGGCTGTGAGCATCCAATGCGGGAAATATCAATTAGCTGTGTTGTTCGCCATCACCTCTTCACCAGGTGATCTCAGAACAACATCATACAATACGGAGAATCTTCAGCGACAGTAGAGGCAGACAGCATTGATTACTGAAAAAAACGGCAGCGATGCAAAAGTAAAAACAAATGACAGAAGGACCACAGATTTAATAATGAAACTAAATAACGCACTTTTGATTAAATCGCCTCTGTACGTGCTCACAGCATTCTTCATTTGTCTCAGCATATATTTTTTTAATTTTTTGTTTTTATTGCCTCTAACACAGCCTTTGACACGGTTTGCAATACTGGATAAACACGCCGTCTATGGAGGGAGACACTTACAGTAGCAAGGGTGGTCTAAATGTTTCCTACAGCAGCGAGGAACTCTTTCTCGCACATGACCGGTAGCTACTCCACGATATACACGAGAGACAAACAGACGGGACAAACGTACAGAGGCACCCACAGGAACGGACGCACAAAAACTGAGCTGAACGTCGCACAGAGTCTCAATTAAACTTTAAAGTAACCGTGACATTTGGTTAAAGGGGCGGCACGTCGCAGCTCGCCTGCTCACACGCACGCCTCAGTGCACCTACATGCACACGCATACTGATATATAAAGGGCCAACGTAAGGAATTAAGACATCTATGTGGTCCCTCTTCGCAGAAGCTGGTGACGCATGAAGGGGAAAGGCCATTTTAAGTCCGCTCCATTTTTATTGAGAGCTGAAAGCTGCTATTCAAAACTGCTGGATGCTGGACTCCACATCGCCCAAAGACCTGCTCAGACTGACCGATAAGATCCAAGCCTGTATTTATCAAACTGCCGAGGGTTAAAATTCACCTAAAAACAAACTGCAGAACTGGTGAACTTGTGTGTTTCCATGCTATCACTGTCTGCTGCACAGCACAGCTCCGGTCTTCACTGTTTTTGACTGTTTTTCTGAGGCTAAGGTGTTTGGAATCATCATCATGCACTGCTGCCTGCGTCAAAGCCCCTTAGCTGCTATATAATTCCTAGAATGTATCTCAAAGTGTAGCAGCTGTATACCTGATTTCATCTAATGTTTAAATTTCTGTTTAGAATAATATTTTTTTAAAAAACCAAAGTGAATCAGTGAATTCATAAAGGGCCCAGCTCCCAGAAACATCTTTTCACTTTAGCGAGTTTTTATTGCTTTGCTTAAATTGTGACCATGAGGTTTAATTCTTACTCTCACAATAGAAACGTATTGACTCTACAAATTAATTTTAATGTTTTATTTTATGTATGTTTAATAACCAGGATGCCACTACAGCTTTACACCGTCCCCTCAGACCCCCTAGTCCCCTCGATACCTGGCAAAGCTTGTCTGTCTCTGTGTTTTAGGCCTGTGATTGACTGGCTCCAACCTCTCAGTGAACCCGGGCTGGATAAATGGCCAAAAAAAATAGATGGATGTTTAATCATCTTCTTAATTAGAACATTACCAGATAAAAGAACATACATTTTTAATATTAAAATCAATCTGTGTATCTGACTAGTCTGAGCAAACTGATCATTTGAAAGCCACTCTTAAGGGTTGAGTCATTTTAATGCCAGTCTTTACTTTTAGTTCTAAATGATCATTTTTAGTAAGTTTGATAAATACAGGCTCAGATTTCACAACCATTATTCCTCCACATATCCCTGCCTCTCCTCCCCCCGACTTATCTAGGTGCTTATTCAAGTTCAACAGGCTGTAAGTATTCAGGGATTGATTTTAAAGGAAAGTTAAACTTACAAAGAACAGCTTTAATCTTTTTTATAGCACATGTGTCTCTCTCTAAAGCAGATTTTGTGTGGCAACATCCACAGTGCACTCACCATCAAGCCACTGCAAAGAAACAAAACCACATATACTCTGTAATTTTATAAAGACAATAAAAACCTTTATCACAATTAAGCCTTTTGTAGAAAATGTACATCAGAAAAATACGCAGGTGCATCCTCGTAGTAAATAAGCGTCTGTTTACGCCGCGCTTCTTTCAGGTTTCTCTTTGTGTTTGTGATATACAGTATAAAGTCGAAGTCTCTGAATATTTACCACATATATAAAATAGACAAGAACAGCAGGGGGAGAGGAGGACGAGGATCTGCAGAGCTTCTCGCCCCTCTGTGTCTCTATATGGCAGAAGCTTTGTCTCTGTTGATGAAGAGGGTCTCCTGGCAGAAAGGGTTAACCAGGACCACGCTGCTGCCGCTGTAGTCTCCATTAGGGGGTAGACAGGTGTCATGATCCTGCAAAAAGTACATGCACAAAATAAGACGTAGTGGAAAAAAAAGGAAAGGAGGTGTAACTGTTAAGCAGCAGCTCTAATTCATGATTCACGCTTCAGGGCTCACCGTTAGCGCACACGCTACTGTATCTGAGTCTCTCTACAGGCGACGAGCAGCAAGTTTAGCGTGGAGGAGGACAGATAAAATATGGGTTTTGTGCACATCAGGGCTTTTAAGGAGATGGTGAACAAAGATATGTGGAAAAAAGCTCAGCGATCAGAGATACAAAGGGGAGGTGGTGGGGAAGATGTAAGAGCCTCACAAGTGGAGGAATAAAAAGGGAGAATGACTCAGAAGAAGGCAGCAGAGGGTGTTAATCTAAGTGTGCTGGGTGATGGTGAGTCAGCAGTAATGAGGTGGTGCAGGAGGTCGTTTTGAAAAAGTCCTTTTTCATCCAATCACATGGAACTACAGGAACACCATCATCATCACCATCACCATCATCAGGTTTACAGTCATTTCTGTCATTTTCCTATAGCACCAGGGAGGCTACAGTACGAGGCTTCTGCTCTACGGACACGTGCAAAGCTGGAAACAACACCTGGGTGTCACCAAGGGCATCCTACACACGATCCTCAGCTTCCCTCTCCTGACACCTCCGACAGGCGGCAAAGGAATGCAAATTGAGGAGGCAGAGAAATAAAATAAAGGAAACACACAGAGAAGATAATAAACATACAAAGAGAGCAAGCAATGGTACATAAAAATATACGGTTAAAAAGAATAGAGGGGGGAATTTGCAGAGAGTATAATATGCCTCTGTTATATCCCATCTTTTCCAACAGATGGCGCTGCCATGCACCTAAAAACAACATATTACACTTTCTGCTTTGAGCTGGACTTGAGCCTATAAAGCCTTAGTTTTGCATAAATATGAATGGGTTAGTTAAAAATAAAATAAAATAAAATAAATAAAATTGCATGCTGCCTAAAAGTTTCCAAGCCCCCTTTAAAAAGCACACCGATTAGGGGAATGTGTGTAAAATTATCATCATTAAGTGCAGAATATTTCTAATTAGTGGGAGACAGTAGCTTAAAAATGACCTGGTTTGCAGATTTTACAGTGTAAAAGCCTTAAATCACTTTATTAAAAACCTGGGAGCTTCTGGCGTGGAGCGTGATATCAGATATAATGATTTGCAGAAGCAAAGAGGATACACAGGATTTAAAGAGTTTAAAGTGTCAGATAAAAATCTTAGGTCAAATATGTTGGACATCTTGTTATATTTATAGGCAATGTCTGACGAATTATAGGAAAGTGAGTTTACGGAAACTTCATGTAGCTTATGGACGACGCTGTGAGGTGAATACTGAAGAATCCAGATTTGTCTTTATCTTGTGTTATGTGATTTGTTTTGGAATGAATAAAGACTGAATTCATGCCAGAACACTATTTTAAACAAATGATATAATACAGTTGGGAACAAGATGATTTTACCAATCCCAAAGCTACTTACAGCAAAAACTAAGTGGGAACACGTGTGCTGAAAGATTAAGCTGTGAATTTACTGAGTAAATGGAAACGCTGCCAATTAGTAGAATTTCTTGGTTCAGAAGATTTCTACCAGAGCTCAAAGCGACATGAGAATTAAAGAGACCAAAGTTTAGCTTGGATTATCCATTTGTTCACAACAAAACATAAAATACGTAACATGACGGAGAAGGAAAGATATGGAAGACATGTTATTTACCACAAGAAGATGATACAGACCTTTTAAAATGAAAACGCAGACCTCATCAGCTGTTGTTTTATTGATCTGTGAAGCCTAAATGTGTTTTTCTGTTCTGTAAAGCAATTTTTAAAATAATATAAACGCGTCATTGCTTCAAAGATTTTTTTTATGTAGTCAAAAATCCTCAACCAGACCAAAAACATTATAAAAACAGCTCAGTGTCATTTTATTAAATACACATACCCGATCATTAAATTTCATCATTAAATGAGTCTTTCTGATAATTTGAGAATGACTGAAGATCTTTGATCTTTCTTAAGGTTTATTTATTGATTAAGCTTGACAGATTTTTGTCTTTTATTCACATTTTTTTGTCTGCAGTAATCTGAAGCACCTGCAGTGGGTCCCACCACTCGTGTTTATGAAACACTGATCTTGGCTTATTAATGCTTTTCTTTTAAACAGATTTAAATATAATGAATGCTTGTTGGATGCCTCAAAAATATCAGAAAATTAACTTTTAATCTTTGGATTTTTATACACTGGTTTCTATCTTTTGAGCATGCACAGACCGATATTATTGATAAATATAACTAAAATGATGCTTCACTGAAAGTTTGCAGTCTTGTATGTAATTAAACCCGCTCAGCTGAGGTTTATTGATTACTAATACCAAGTTACTAATAATGTATCAGTAAAGACTACTCAGTATACTGACACTGAAGCCAGTCTTTGAGATTCAGTTGCTGCTGTAAGTTTAAGTGAATACTTGATGTGAAGAACTGTCTAAGAATCAGATGCCCTGAGGAAAAATTTGAAAAAATCCTCGTTAATCGCAGCGGCACAGCGTCATGCTCATGGACATGGATCCTCTTGTTGTTTCCATATTCATTAAATGCATTCTGCTGACTGATAGCGAAACATCAAGTAAATGTGCGGCCTCTTTAAGTGTCTGCGGTGCAAAGCAGTAACAGAAAGGCAGCCTAACAGTGTCAGTAGTTTGTACCTCACTCTCCAGAGTGTGTATCTCTCTGGGCAGCTCCACGGCGTGTCTGCTGAAGTAGTCCATGGTGATGGCGTTGTTCCAGTAACTGAGGTTGTTCTCCTGACTTGAAGACTTTTTCTTCCTCCTCATGCAGCACACAGTCAACAGCACAGCTACAGCGGGCAGAGGAAAAAAACGAGGCTCAGCACAGAAACGGCAATAGCTGCTGCTTCAAAAAGCCTCTGAAATCACCCACACCTGCTGCTCAGCAAGAGCCTGTCATGTTTCAGGACAACATGCTGCAGTTGGAAATCAATACTGCAAATTCTGAGCTGCCAGTCGTTCGGTGAAAATATACGAGAAGGCTTTCAGGAACCAGAAAGTAAAAGTACTTCATTTTCAGTGGGCTGGAGTGCACAAAATTATATTTTGCCTTGGGTGGAATAGCTTTTCACCAGTGAAAACCTTTTAAACCAAATTAATTTCATAAGGAACGGCCCTGAAGTGTAACTGGAGGCAGTCAAAAGGGATTCTGGGAAATCTAGAAGCTGACTGAGATAAACAAAGACAAGAAAAGTCAAAACTTAAGAATGAATTAAACTCACTTCAGAAATGTAATAAAATTACTAATAATGGTTAAAATATGCATGTGTTATAACAATGTGATCTACAATATAAAATACTGTGACCTGGTGCGGTGTCATTTTTTCCAATAGTGAGATGAGAGGATTAACACATAGGCTGCTGCTAAACCATTAAGGGTTGAGCACAAGCACATTAAAAACCAAAAAACACACAAGATGTTACCTTTTAAATGATTTTCATGCAGCTTTTCTTAAACTTTTTAACTATGGCATGTGTAAACTTAAATTGGATGAAAGAAGGTGGAAGCTAAATCGATAAAAAAACAGGTCACCACAAGCAGGTGAATGTAAAGAGGTTAAATATGAATCTCAAGCCACAACCAAACAAGGGAAACCCACTAACTTAGATATGCCTATCTAACTAAGCCCATTTCTCTTTTTCTTCCCACTCTTTATGTGAAACTACACGGTGGCTTCTGTGGCTTCTTATTAAATATACAAGTGTGAAGGTGGTATAAACTCTCTGCAGTGCAGCAGACGATTGAGATTCTTTAAATACCAAACCATTTCTTTCAGACAGAATGTGACTCTCTTTGTTTTCCAAGCTGTTCTGGTTTTACTTACAACACGAGGACACGAGCACACTGATGGCCAGCACGATCCACACGATGGCCATCCTGCTAAAGCAGATGTCCTTTTGGGATGACGTGGAGTCGATAGCAGTGCCTGGGTTGTGGCCAGGTGTCGCGGTGGTGATTGGCAACTGTGTGATCTGGAAGTTCCCGCTGGTTGTGGAAGTGGGCTCTGAGCTGTTTGCCTGCTGTTCCATCTTGACTGATGTGCTCTTGGAGAAGTGCTCCCCATATGCAGTTGCATTCCCTAGCAGGTCAGTGCTGTTACCTTGAACAGAACCTTGAGACTGACTTTCCACAGTGGGGATGTCGTTCGCTGCAGTGCGAGTGGCGGGCGTGAGTGTTGAATTCTGTGTTGTGACGCCCGTCACGGTGGACGGGGCGCTGGACGCAGTGAAAGTTTGATTCTGTGGTGGGCTCTTGACAGTGACAACCAACTGAGCAGTGGGGGGCTCGTCCACTCCATGCACCTCGCGAAGGGTGATGGCGTGGTGCGAGGATCCTACAGCGTGATTCCTGAGTTTCAGGCCTCGTGCAGCATCAGCATCGACTGAGAGTGAAGAGGGGGGCTGCAGGCGTGGAGCATACCGCTGCCCGAGTTCCTCTACACTCAGCTTCTGAGGCCCTGTGTGGTTTGCATCGAGTGCATCCCCTTTTTCTGCTCCAGAGCTGGACAGAGGTGCTAGGGGGTTTGGGGCCCCTATAGCAGCAGATTCCACATCTATATTTGGCCTCTCTGCATTAGGAAATTTAGGACTGCTGCTGCTGCTGGCCTGGTTAGTGCTGACTGTAACTGGGTTATGGGCCCTGACCAATTTGTGCATGAGACTTCTGTTTACAACATCAGAGCTGGGCTCTTTGGGGTGATTCACATGACTGCCAGTGCTCACAGTGTTTGGGGTGACTCTGTCATAACTGGGAGGATCCTCACGAGCTAAGTTGGAAGCTTGGGCAAGCCGATGCAAGTGTAAAGGGGGAAGAGCAGACGTAGGAAGGAGGGCATTTGTGGGTTGCATGCCTTTGGGTGACCATTCCCCGCTACTCGACCCCTCCTGATGCCAGTCCAGGGGTGAAGGTTTGGGCGAGGACAAGGGGCTGCTGTGTGTGACTGCCATGTAGACAGAGTCCTGGGATGTGTGGCTGAGGTACAGCTCCTGTGCTGATGACACCAGTCCTGCTGGCAGTGCTAGGAATGCTAGAACACCTGCAGAAGCAAACAGAATAACATAGAAATCCTTTTTAGTCTCACGAACTCTTGATTGTTTCCTGTAAAGTTGATTTTTTAAAACTCTTTTTTTTCTCCTGTGCATTTTGTTTAGCAAACCTTGATGAAGCTGCAGCCCTGCGGCTATAACTGACTGCTCGGCTGTTTAGTTGATAAGTGTGGCATTGTCTTGCATTCATTATGCTTCTTAGCCTTTAATCTACTGAACCGTTATGCGTGTCAGTCACCTAGTTTAACTAGATTGCTTTATTAACTGCATTATTCACTAGAACAGCGCTACTGCGTGTATCTGTGCATGGATAAGGTGGCAGCTGGGACGGAGAGGATGCTTCTCTCCTTGGACACGCAGTTCTCTTGTAATAAAACAGTAAGATATAGCTGCAAATAATATTCTTAGCAATCCAGTTTCTATAAATGTTCTTGTTTAAAGCAAGACATCAGGAAAAAAACAAGTTTTCTCATGTGTAAGTCATTAATTTGTCCTTTCAGACAACATTTAGATTTATTTTTTTACACATTTACCATTGGACAGCCGCACAAAATACCTGAGTAACCAGTAAAGTACCACATCTATATTAGTTAGTCCATCAGTTAAAACTTGGTTATTTCCTAATTTATGAAGTGTTACAAACCTTTGAGTTTGGAATGTCAACAAGCTGAAACTAGAATTTTTAACCTTACTTTAACCAAAGTTTACGGGGAATTATGCACTCTGGTACATTAAATATATAAGGTCTCATTTGCATATTTAGACATGACATAAAAAAATAGAAAAATAGTAATAGAAAAAGATGATTTATCATAAAGGAAAAATGCTTACTCTGTTCACCTCTTACACTGTCCTTTGTCATCATAAAATAGAGTCAACAGTCAGATGGTGAAATGTGTCTTGTTAGTAGACATAATGACTTCTAATGATTTTCCTACAATTAATACAGTAGATTGATTTATGACAGTCTCAGTGTCAGTATGGCCTACTTAAAATGCTAAAGCCATCTCTAAGAGCTTGACAGATTTGCTTTCTCAAGCTCAATCCCGTAAGGAGGCTGCGTAGTGGCAAGACATTAGCAGGTGCCAGCGGGGAATAGTGTTATCTAGACAGCTAGAAAGTCATAGAGGGAGGAATGTGAAAGGGCTTATTAATTTCCACATTAACTCTCTCCTTTCCACCCCTTATTTATACTTAATCACAACTAATCCGACACATTAGCAGAGTCCCCACTGTGCAGACTCTATATTCAGACAACAGACTACGCAACAATAAATATCATCTAAATTCTTGTCTGGTATACAGTCATAGCACAAAGAAAGCACAACACGGTCTTCAATTTGAAGGTTTTACATATCAAGACATAATAAAAACATCTAGTCCTTAGCTGGTCTTATAATTAGGTAAATATAAGCTCAGATAAATTACAAAACAAGACATATAACAGTTTCTGAAAACCTAAGAACATCCTCGTTGCTTCCAAAGGAATTAAGAGACTAGGTAGAAGCCAGAAGCTGCTAATTAAATGCTCTTGATTAACTGTTAATCAGCAAGTGTGAGCATCTTTATGAAAGCAGAACATCTTGTCAGATGCTAAGGAGGCATGAGAAGCAACTGGTGCCGCCCATCAATCTGGGAAAGGTTAAAAGGCCATTTCCAAACAATGTGAAGTCCATAACTCTACAGTTAGAACAAGATTATTCACCAGTGGGAAACACTGAAGACAGTTTACAATCTTTGCAAGAGTGCACATCCCAGCAAATTTACCCCAAGGCCAGACACTACAAAAAACAAAACCCACAAGAACTACATCTCAGATTCGAAATTCCTCAGTTAGCGTGTTAAATGTTAAAGTTCATGAAATTACAATTAGGAAAACAATAAAGAAGCATAGGAAGGCAGAAGAAAGCCGCTTTTTTTTCTAAGAACATGGCAGCACAGCTTAGGTTTGCAAAGTTGCATCTGAACAAACTACAAGACTTCTGGAACAATGGCCTTTGGATGGATGAGACCAATGTGGAGATGGCTGGCCATAATGCACAGCACCACACTAGCCAAAAACCAAACAGCATATCGGCACAAACACCTAATGCTGACTGTCAAGCACGGTGGTGGAGGGGTAATGATTTGGGCTTGTTTTGCAGCCACAGGACCCGGGTGCATTGCAGTCATTGAGTTGAAGTCCTTTATATAGTTAAGTGAGTAAGTAAGGCAAAAAATTATTTATAATCACAAAGTGTTTCACAAAAAAAATAAATAAATAAAAATCCAGGGCATTTAAAGCAACACAGACAAAAAGTAAGACAAATGCAATTCACAGAGTCCACAGATCGTAGCTGTATTAGCAACGGTGTAAAATGCGAGTACGTAGCAGATTTAGTCAGAAGTCTATCTGCGGCGTTTGAACAACCTGCAGACGTTCCAAGGAGTTTTTGCTTAGACGTATAAACAATGAATTACAGTATGCTTGGCCCGATGCACAATGCACAGCAGCAAATCTGCAGAAAGGATGAAAAAGAAAAGAATCAAAGTGCTGTGATGGCCAGTCAAAGTCCAGACCTCTGCCTGACTGAAATGCTGGGAACTTTAGAGACAGTAGAAAGTACATAAACAAATGCCTGCGAAGTACTGAAGCTATGGTGTACAGAAGAGCGGGCAAAATTCCTCCACAACTATGTGAGAGACTGATAAAGTAATACAAAAAAAGAATTACTTTAAATTACTTTTGCTAAAGGTGCCTCTACAAACTACCGAATCATAAGTGATGTTTAGTTTTTGACACAGTGCTTCTCCAGTTTGTCTTCGTTATTGTTAAATGAATATGACATGGTGTGATATTTCATCCGTGACTGATCATCTGAGGTTTATTTACCTTATTTTAAAATCTGTTAAGGGCTAGATCGACTATATCTTGATCATTAGGAATGATACAGGATGATTTCTTTTTAAAACGACTGCACGTTAGTGTGTTTTAGTCACGGTTACTGAAATAGGGAAGCGATTAAGTTAGTCTGACACCAATCACTGGCTTATTGCTTCAAGGTTAAGACCAGCATTACTTAACATTTATCTTAATGACAACAAATGCCACAAACAGACCATTATCTTCAACTTCTCAGACCTGTCTGTGGCACTTGGGTCAAATGTCATTCCTTCCGTCTGCGGATGTCCAAAGTAGGAATGTCGAAAGATTCCCTAAACACTCAAGAAATAGTGTATTTGATAGAGGCCATATATTTATTTGCTGCTGATAAAGTGGGGTTTTATGTTGTTGTTTTTTTGTCATTAATAGGAAAGCATGTCAGCTTATTTTAGTGGCTCATTTGAATGTTTCTACCAGTTTATGGTAAATCGAGTGCTGTGACACATGCGAATGAGCTCTATCAGGCTTTAGTGGGATCAGATTTGACTGATTACACTAACGATCATCATTCACAATCTTTTATTAAAAACTGGCTTAAAGATTAGACGGAAAAAAGGAAAATACAAAATATTTATTCTGTTTAAATCTTATTCAATTTTTATGTCTATTATAACCTTAATAATATGCAATGGTCATGCTGATGACAAACGAAAACCTCAACAAATAAAAAGGGAAAGGGAAAGAAAACAGCTTGTGTACACAGGCAGAGCTGTAGACCCTCAAACAAGTAAATTTGAGGTTAATTCATTAAAAAAATACCTCAAAACACAGTCACGAGGTACTAATATGACTGAGAGGTTATGACCATCATTAAGGAGCAATGGATAAAGACAGAAACAGAAATCTGGGTAGAACGTACAACAAAGAGCTGCAGTAAGAGATCAAATATTATTAGTAGTATAATTTATTCGCCACAGGAATATTTTTTCCATTTTCTTCCATGAGGGGTTTAAAATACACTCGGGCAGAACCCCAAAGCACTGACTATTTAAACTCAGCCTCTGAATCATTAATCATATTCCTCCATACTCAATCACACAGACTTGCAGGAGAGAGGGTCCAGGCACTGCCTTCCATTAACCAGGTCTGTCACGTCTCTAATCCACAGAGCCCGCTCCAGACCAATGTCTGGGGAGACAACACGCGGGGCCATTGTTGATTTATGGATGCTCTATTTTCCCTCAAATTATCTTTTAAGCAGGAGAATAAAATGCAGCCTGTCAACTGTAAGGTGTTTAGTCTTTTACTGATGCTGGGTAATGTGAATCGTGTGCATATTAGGACAAAAATCAACCTCCGAAACGAGGCCGAATCACTGAATCGGGACGAATTAAATAGTGACTCCTTGGATAGGTAGGTGTAAGATGTCTCCGTGCAAACTGAAACCACGTAGATGCAAGAAGGCTTTAAATAAGGAGATAAAAGAGGTAACGGAGGCCGATTAAGAGAGAGGATGTTTATCATGACGGGGTCTGGCTTGAGTCATGCCTTCAATCAGTACACAAGCCTGGCTGTCACAACCCGGCAACCTGACACTCTGCTGCTGAATAAAACATAGCATCCTTTTATAAAGTTATGTCAGAAATGAACAAACTAAATGCACTGGCACAGATTCTCCCAGCTAGTTCAAACATGGGCTTCTCTGATCTGTAACCAGCGTGGAGATTAATATTCATTTAGGACTTTGCAGTTTAGTCGAATTATATTTTATTAAACATCACATCTAAAATGTGAAAAGGGCCAAAACTGATTTTTTTTTTTTAAAGTTAGCATGCACTGATGTCTGACTGCCCAAATATTAATTAGTGCAGGACACAAAATGAGGTCAACCTTTAGATTCTGTTTTAGAGGTGTGGAGATTTATGATTTATTAGCTTTTCTGAGTGGCGCTCTTTCTGATGTAACCATGACATTTACTTTTATAATTACTGGGGACCAGTATGCTTTTACACTGGTGGATTCTCATATTAAACGTGGCTAAAGGTTCAAATATTAAGGTCAGTGCAAGCCGACCTGCTGTAAACACTCGACACTTGGCTCTGTATGATGTCAAAGAGAGGATTCCCT